AAATCCTCTGAAAGACTGAAGCACACAACTGCCTTCACGTCTCCGTTCTGCACCAGAATTTATGCCCTTGGCCTGACATTAGGAATATTATGCTAACACAGCATTTGGACAAATATTTGCCCTGAAACACCAACTCGGAATGGGCAATGCTTGCTGCCTCGGCTTTCCAGAGAGAATTCTGGAGAGAGTGCACTGTCAGTGAAGCGTTTCAGCTTTTTTAATCATAACAAAGTGCTGTACGGGTGAGCCACGAAGAAGCCACCAAGAGACAGAACAGCTACAGACCAAGCACTCGCTTTGCTGTAGGACGCTGCGTTCCCCACTGCCCCCCTCGCCAGCCATCGCTGTTCTGCCAACCACTAGTAAGGGAGCAGTCTCTTGGTGGCGTTACAGAGAGGAAGACTTTGGTCACCGTTAGGCAGAAGGGCACCGAAGAGAAGCCGAAGGCAGCCACTCCGTCACACGTCCCCTTACCAAGGGAAGCACAAAGTCACGGCCGCAGGTTTGCCGGCGCAGAGGAGCCTCCCCCTCCCAGCGGCTGCCCCAGCTCTGCCCCGGGGCCGCGCCGCTTTGCTGCGGGAAGGACCCTAGAGACCTCGCGCCCCCTCACCGGGCAGAGGCGAGGAGGTGACGCCTCCCCAGGAGCAGAAAGCGGCGTTCCAAAGTCACGCACCACCCCAGATCAGCGACAAGAAGAGCAGGGCTTTTCAAGGAGATCACGGGAGAAGAGGCAACGCAGATCCCGCGCAGAATGGCTCTAACCCACTGGCTTCGGTCTCCCGTTCTCAGACAACCACCGGCTGTCTCCCTCCCACCTGATTCCCATGAAGACTCCCACCAAGTTTAAAAATAAAGCTTGCATAAACTAAGCAAGTAGGAATTAGCCCGACTTGGGTACGAAGTCACTGCTCTTCTATGAAATAAAAAGAACCACTGAATTACCTGGACTCCAAAAAGTCTTTTCCCATTATTCACCGAGTGCAAGAACTCGCTGTTCAGACCACAGTTCGACTGGGAAGCTCCAAGTTTGAATGCTGGTGAGTCAAGGGGGTTACGCTGTTGAAACCACATAACTTGGAACAAAATGTTTTTGTTCCAAGAGATATTTCTTTTTTAAACAGAGACAACTGAGAACGTAGGTGTCTTTCAAACGACAACCAAGCAGGCAAGTACAGTTTGTACAGCCAAACAAAGATGACAGCATCATTCATAAAACAACCGAAAGTGATATCATTTCCGAAGCCCTGGCTATAAATTTGGGTTATTTCATGCAATGAGATTGTCCAATTTGGTCACACCAGAAAACTGTATGAGTTTTCTGTTCCTCACGGGGAGACAAGCCCAGCTCCCTCTGCTCCTGCAGGCAAGCCCTCGTCCTGCCCGCTTCCCAGTCTGGCTCCGAGCAGGCAAACGCGCAGGCAGGTCCGTCAAATCCACGAATCCTTCCCGAGGACCCAGTGTGGCACGAAGCTTCTTGCTTGGCAGGAGCAAAGCACTCAAAGGTTAACTTCACGGGACGATTTACGCTTGTAAAGTTAACGTCTTAGCACGCCGTACCCCTGCTAGGTTTGGAACGGCCCGCAGGAACGTGCTCCTGCAGACCCCGGCCTCGCGGCAACCCGGGGGTCAATGCCCTCCCTTGGGCAAGCAAGGAGCGTGCCTGTGCTCAGGTACCTGTGCCCTGCTGCCACCCCACGGCCCCTGCCCCAGGCTGACTCGGAGCGCAGCGTGGCCGGAGCACGGCCCCTGTGCCAGGGCATCGCTTCCGCAGCTTTTCAGCCCAAAGATGCTGCAGCACCAGC